GGCAAAGTGTTGAACTTTTATAGTTTCAGAGTTTAAGTTTAATGACCAGCTTTTAATATAACACTAATAAATATTCAGTAAATATATTTGAACTGATTCAGGCCTAACTTTTGTCAATTCACAGACAAGAAACTCGACTCTAAATCAAAATTCGGAATTTATGATTGCGATAGCTGTGTTGGCTCAGAATCGTAATTCATAATTTCGATTTGCATAATATTTTAGTTTTGCATGGAAAAAACAAGTGATTGTTGTGGATTATTAGCAATGCAAATTGATGAAATTCGGTAACATTTAATGCCAAAATAGACAAATTTATTGTCTCCGACAGTTGCGTTCACACGAAATTGTGGTTTTAACTGTCCAAATTCATCAAAGCCCATCAAATGCAATGTCCGACCCACGCACAATGATTGTGTCAAGCGTGAATTATGACAATGCATTCGGAAGTGTAAGCGTTATACATGGGGAGAAGAGTGAAAGCGGGCGATAAGGCGTGACATGTGCGCCCCCAGCTCGGGGCCAGGCATGTAAATAATTACTGCAAAAAACAAAACCAAAAATAATAGAAATTTGTGTGCATAAATTTAGAAATCATTTGTGGACGAGAGAACACAAATGAAATACCAAACTAAATTAGTTAATTAATGCAGCACAAACACAAAGCTCGCAGCAGAGCTGGACGCGGGTCATCATCAATCATGGCACTGACTCTTTGCTCTGTCTACGTATTCACTCTAATGGGTCCGGCTCAATGCTTTTGCGTGTTGTTATTTTTTTTTGTTTTTTTTTTTATTTTTTTGGGGTTACAGCTACGGGAAGTGTGACCGGCTTTCGCTTTCACTCCCGGCTCGATTGACGTTCAAATTGGCCGGGAGGCCAAAAAATATTCACCAATTAGATGCCCACATTTGCGACAGGTAAAATGATTAAGCGGCGCGCAACAACCAAATATTATCTATAAAAATCCAAAGTCCAAATTAATTATGCGCCGGCCAAGACGTCAACATCCAAAAACCACAATGTATCACATTTCGCGCTTTGCGGTTACCCTTTTTCTTATTTTTTAAAAATTTATTTTACTTTTTTTTTGTTTTGTGGAATACGCCCCTAAGCTGAAGGCAAACAGCAAACTTCCATTAGGCGACGCAGTAATAAATTAAATATTGTGAAATATATAACTCAATTGTTGCCTTCTTTCTATGGTAGTCTTCAAATACTCTTTCCAAGCAATTGACTACATGAAGGTATGAAAATTCGAGTTATATTTATCAAAATTTTTAGATAAGTAATTTCATAAATTTAAGAGAATTTAAATTTTTTAAATAAGACTTGAGCAGTAAAAGCATATGTTTATGCATAAAGATAGAAAAATATATAGATTCGTCTCACTCCATACTGCTAATATATCTCTATCAATTAATCTTCTCGTACACTGATCTAGTCTTCTTAATAGTACTGCTCTTCTCTGTGCTTCTCATGCGCAACAATGGCTCTTCATTGCTTCACTTAAAAGCCTCACCTGCGCTTAACTATTTCATTTCGGACCTGCTTACATCATTTTTAATAATAATAATTTATTTCTGCAAGCCTCCAAAGACATTCACTTTAATTATTTATATAAACTTTTAAAAAATATATATTAAATATAATGATAATTTCAGTATGCTTTGTGTTCCTTAGAGTAACATTAAATCCCATCTCTGATTGACATTTATAAGCGTCTGTTGGCCCCCATGGCGACACACATTCCGGCAAACCCTTTGGGCCTACTCAACTCATTTGCTGGGTTCTCATTATGGGGGCGGGCAGGTGTACGAAGTTGCTGTTTGGGTAAAGGTAGCAGAATAATTTGCATAAAAAAAGAACAGCAAAAAGAAGGGAAAAAACACATGATAATAAAAGGAGAGAAAAACTGTGAGCTGTGCATTTTTAATTAATTAATTAAGGCGAGTCGCGTCAGTGCCAATAACGAGGCTATCAACGTCGGCGCGCAACTCGTATTATCATACCTTAATTCTAATCAACGTTGCTAAACGCAAATATTTGTACACGGATTGTGCTGGCTAACGCTGGGCATCGCTGTCACTGTGTTTGCATATGCATGAACTTAATTTTAATTAATATTTTATTATCTTAATTATGCATCGCACCTTGCCAGCAAGAGCTGCGCCCTTTGGCCACCACTCGCTGGTCGCCAGTTTAGTTTTCGACCTTTTGCTTAACAAATTATGGCCATAAATAAAGTAAACGAGTTAAAAGTGGTTTTGCGTGTAGACAGCCGACACGGACATAGACAGAGGCCCGAACCGAGGGCCTCCTGAACGCTGGCTCCTGCTGCTGTCTGGTCTCGGTCTAGCCGCCGTCTGTTGGCGCTTGGCTAATGTCATTTTCATATTGGTTTGCTACTGTTGTTGTTGGTTTTGTCTTTTTTTCGTCCGTTTTATTATTTCTTCCTGTAGCCCTTACGGCAAAGGGTTAATTCCTTGACAAATGCGCTGAGTGCAGTGCACAAATTTATTTGTACACTTTGCTCTTGTTGTCTTTTTGGTTAATTTGGACTGATTTATTGCTTTTTATTAGTGCCGCTAATTGGCTTCAGCTAAAGCCAAGCACAAACCTGACAAGACTTGGCAATAGCTGCTCGAGCAGCGAGGCCAATAAATAATCTGCATAGATAGCAACAATTAATGTAGTTTTTATGATCAAATTTATTTGTAGTAATGCAGCCATAAATAATAATGAACAAAGCAGAAACTCCAATTAGAATTTTAAAATAAAAAATAAATTTTATTAAAATATATTTTAACATATTTTTTTTATATCTGAGTGCAGTTGTCTCAAGCTCAAGTTAAGAAATTGCTTTTCTTATGAAATGTCAACTTCTTAATAAAAACCAATTCGTACAGGCCTTATTAAAATATATTTATACATAGTCTATATTGATGTATGAATGCTGCTTTTTTCAGCCATATTCTGAAGTTAAGAAACTTCTTTCTTCGCTAAAAAGTTTTGTCTCTTTGGCCAGCATTCTTACCGCTTCCTGTCCAATGTTTGACAAAAATTCTTCGCTCAAAATATGTTTTTCTTTGTTCATATCTCAGCCAAAAATTTTTCATATTTTGTGCAGTTGCCGCCCAATTAAATTTTGCCATTGTGATCATACAAAAATGTTTGGCCAAAACCAAAAAAAAAAAACAAACCAACAACAACAACTGTTGACGCGTCGGTTGACAATGATGTTGCCGCCCTTTTTAAACGCAAATTCCATGAAAGCAGTCAGCAGTCAGTCGCGCGTCAACATGGAATACTGTAGTTTCTGGCCAGAGATCCTGTGCAGTTGGGCCAGCCGGCTTAGAGGAACATGAACAATTTAAACAAGGCAAACAGCGCAGACATCGACGAAGACGAGCCTCGACATTGCTGTGTAGCTGTGTTTTGTCTGGCTACAAAAATTGCAAGTGACAGGCAATTCATCATTCATTCGGCTTTTTCGAGTTGACTGACTGACTGACTGACCAACGAGGAGGCGGAGTTGACTGAATGTCTGCCTGCCTGCCTGCCTGGCTGCATGACTGGTTAGTTGGGAGCGACTCCTTTTTGGTCTGCGCCAAACCAATTTTATGGCCAGCAAGCTTAAAGCATAGTCAAGGCATTGACAATTTAATGCATTTAAAGCTAACACAAGTTGGTCAGAACAATGGTGTGCCGGGCACAGTGGCACAAAATCTATAGAAAAGTAGATAAACAGGAGCCTAGAGATTTGGTTTGAAGCACATTTAAGGCAGTTAAATGTTTGCTATGCTTTCGACCCACTGTGCTGTGGCTAGTATTGCCCTTTTGGAATTTTAAATTGTTTAAATGAGTGTAAGTGTGCGTGTGTGTATGGCTGTGTGTGTGACAGCCACGCCCGCCCCATTGCCCTGCGCTCGAGATGATGTCGTCAAAGTTGCAGCCTCAACTCTCTCGCTCCACAGGCACCTCAAGGATCAATCAATTTTTTAGCACGACTTGGGCTGATGAAGTGCCGCCGCTGGGAGCTGCCAGCTCTGCTGCCTGTTTAATATTCAGTGAGTAGCACCGTCAAGCGCGACGAGCAACTGCACCAATTTGGAGCTGCCCAGTGGAACTGGCTCTCTGGCTGGCTGCCTGCCTGACGGATTTTGATGCATTTTTATCGCTCAGCGTTGCAGTTCATAAATTTTTAAACGGTCGCCTGCAAAACAAACAAGCCTCAGCGAAAATTTATTCATTGCGGCCAAGACACACACGCATGTAATCAATTTTTATTTTAGAATCCGCACAGCAAGGTGCCCGGGCAGGTGCAAAAGTTCCTTTGCTCTATTATAATTGGATTACATACAGTTCTGTTCGCTTCGACTGCGTTTGGCTACGACAAGGACCTTGCCCAGTGCCCAGTATATTTCGCGATTCTTCTTGCAGCTCTGTTGTGCCTGATGCGGTCTGGGAATGTGTCTGGTCCGCTGGTCTGGCATTTTTAACGAGCGCCTTGCTGGTAGCTGCAGTCATTTATAGTCCCTGTTTGGGGCGGCGGCTGCTGCTCTTAAATGACAACGGGCCAGCCCGTCCTGCTGGCCGGGACATTGCCAATGCTGTGTGTGGCAGCTCGAAGAGTGCGCCATAAAACGGTTAAAAGTGAGGCAGTTTGTGAGCCTTAAACGCAGCTGCGCCAATTGAGCCAGCTTAATGCCCGCCTCTGCCACTTGCCTCCATGCCGCCGTCCATTCTCTGCATCTTTACGCACTGTGTTAATCCTCCGTTTAACCTTGAGCTTAAACTATTTGTGTTTCAAGTGTCTCCTTTTCACTTGAGATAATACGGCCATTGTAAGCTTAAGAAACTCGTGTTCAGACGACTCTCTCTTTGAAGTTTTACAGACGCATCTGTTGCACCATTCGCAGACACGAAACTTTTACTGTTTGCTCAGATAATTTCACGTAAGCCTTTTCAGTTTATCGAACTGTTTTGTGCCTTAAGTCATGTTCTTCATATCGAAGCTGGTTGAGAAATTCGTTGCTTGGGCCGGAAAGCCCATTTACTGCTTGCTCTATGGACGCGATAATGTGGACTCCTGGTGGTTGCGGCCCGTGCGTTATCTCCTCAATTTCCTGACGGGCATCGTCTTGGGCTATTTGCTGTGGCTACTGCTTGGCTTTGGCGCTAATTTCGGTAAATTATTGACAAGCTTCATGTCGCACGGAATGGTACTGTTGGTATTCATCATGTGCTGCGGACTCTTCTATATGCTAAGTCGCAATATGCGTGTGTTAATATTGTTGATGTTTGTCAGCCTGCTCGGCAAGGCGGGTCAGAGCTATCTCCGAGCGGTGGCCTTCGCCTTTGTCATTGCGGGGCCCATTGCCAATCTGGTGAAGAATGCGGACGAGGTGGCTCGTGTGTTCGCCTGCACCACATTACTCACCTACAATCTGACCAAGACGCGCTTCGATCTGATGGCCAAGCCTTTTACCAATACGCTGCAAACCATGAGGGAAGACTTGGACGAGATACAAGGCAATTTCAGGGAGTTGCAGACTATTCTAGACGATCTCAAATACGGCGTGGAAAATACAAATATTGAGGATGACAAATTTGGCCAAAAGAAAGAGCGAAGAGCTGCCAATGCCAGCGAATCAACTGTTAGCAATTCCAGCTCTCAGCTGCCCAAAGCTTCGGACGTGCAGGCGAAATTTGTGCGCAACATGCGAAATCGCTGCAAGCATCAGCTGCGCAGTGGACATCACGTTTGCCAGGAAATATTCCTGAAGGGCTATCGCAAGTGCACTGCCAATTTCCCTGACTGGCTAGCCGCAGTCTTATGTTGGCCCTATCGTGTCGATGTCATATGTAAAATGAATATGTTTGGCAATCCGGACAAGGTGTGCGATGCCTCAAAGGTAAGGGCAAATGTCTTCAAATCTCCTCAGCTATCCCTCTGCAAATTGATGCTCTCACGTACCCTCAGGTTGTGCCGCCCGCATTTGGCGAGACCTACGTAAAGCTGTTGGTCACTGAGCAGGAGCTGTACGACAATAACTCTAATATTGAGATAACCTATCAGCTGCACAACATAACGACATCAGAGCAGCTGCTCAGCGCCAAAGAGACATCCGAGCAGTTTATGAATGAGTTCGATCAGAAGAAACGCAGCTTTCAGACCGTCATGTGGATAGTTGAGAAATTTATGTACTTGTTCGTTCTGATCGTCATATACACGTCGATTAAATACCAATATCTGTACTGTACGGACTTGGAGTACGACAATGTCTACATAACGGACTACTTCAAGCATGTGGATGAGCGTCGCAAGCGCGAAAGGAAACGTTCTGTACTGCCCTTACGCAGCCATGAGCAGCCCATGTTTGCGGGCTCATCGAGAAGGGGCGTGGCTCGGTCTATGAGTATTTTCAACTTCCTGCACTTGTCACTGGAAATAGTGACAGCGGGTATATTCCTTGTGCTCGATCATTTGGTCGTTAGTCTGCTGCAGATAATACATCGGCGATCGCTGATCACCTATCGCCAGCAGGGCGAGCACGAGGTGCGCTTTCGAGTGAGTACGATATTGTGAGTAGATCTAAATAGGAGACTATCTCATCAGTTGGCCCACTTCGCAGATCAATGGCACTGGGCTAATGGCTCGTCTGCTGCGCACCACAATGAAAAACTTCAACATACACGAGCACGTCTCCACGTCCCTGAGCAACGAGGAGTGCCTGCCCGTGGCTCAGGTGCTGCCCAAAAGATTTTACATCGAACTGCTGCTAATTTACCTAATGATCGTAGTGCTGATCTATGGCAGTGCCGATCTGCTCCATTTGCGTCGCACCATCTGCAGCTTTTTCTACTACAAGCACGAAAAGAAGCGCATTCTCTACCTGTACACAACATTTCTGCGCTCTCGCCTCGACAACAGGGAGACACTCCTTAAGCTGGCCGAAGACAACTTAGCCCGGCGGCACATACAGGGCAAAATAAATATATTTTTCATATTGCGCTTCAAGTTTCCGAAACACTTTGGCTGGCTGGAACGCTACAGTTGCGCCAAGCGCAAATGCCTCATCTGCAGTACGCTGGAGAACAACGAATTCGTCCTCTGCCCCACCTGCTCTGCGCCCTATTGCAAATTGTGCTGTCGCGAGCTGAAAACCATGTGCATCTACTGTGGCAATTTAATATCCGCAGAGGCTGATAATGCTGCCACCCTCGCGGCCAACCAGACCAATCGCAAGGAAAAGTAGCTCACAAGATAAGCAAGTATCTTAGGAAAAGTGGCAGATAAAGCGAAGATATAGAAGAAATGTGTGCAGAAAACAGATGTCCTAGCTACAGCATTATATATACTAACCTTGTAAACTTCTCTTAGTATATATACTTCAACTATATGTTCTTTGAATGCATCTAGAATTTCGACAAGTTGTAATAGGATCTGCGCAGTAATTGTCCATTTTCCAGTCTACAGAACACTAGTTCTTAGTGGGCTTTCAGCGTGTGCCTGCCTTTCAGCTGGGTCGAGTGTGTGCGCCTGGAGCGACGTCTGGTCTTTCGTCTGCTGTTTGGCAACATTTCTTCAATCTTTTGGGGCAACCCTTTAGTCTGCTGTTGTCCTGCAGCGGCCCTAATATAATTATGCACATGTCTAGGGTGCCGCCCGAGTGGCTGTTGTTGCCTGTTGTCCTTAGACAAACTTTAGCCAGGCATTATGCAGCCCCTTTTGCTGATTCGATTATGTCTGCGGAAATTTCAGTACGGCGCTCTGCAGCAGCAGCAGGATTAAGTTGCAAAATTGTTAATTAAAAATAATAAAAACGCTAATTGAAGAAATGCCTACAGCAAGCAGCAGCGCCTGGGAAGACTAAGGCGAGGCGAAACTTTTTCGGGCGCCCAACAAAATTGTCTAGACTTTGTTGTGGGCGGGGGCGGAGTTGCTGCGCGGAGCTGCTTTGGGGCACTTGGCGAAACAGTTGCAACTTTGCGACAGCAGCCAAGGAGGCAAGGCGAAAGCGTCTTTGTTTTAATATTCATGCGGGCCGCATTCGTGCATGTAGTTTTGTGGGCGTGGCTACCTCAGTTACAATAAAATAATTATGCAAACAAAAGCAGCAGCAGCAGCAGCAGAAAGAGTCACAGCCATCGACTGCCAGCAGAGGGCGAGACCGCAGCCACAGACATCTGAGTTTACGTCTGCGTTTGCATTTGTGTCTTTCCATTGAAATTTCACACATTTCGTCTCAGCCCGCAACAAAAAAGCAGAGAAATTTTATAAAGCAAAAAAACAAGGAAAATATGCGCAAATTTTCTTACGAAAAGCAAATACCAGAGCGTCGACGTTGAGAGTCGTGAAACGCCGTCCGCCCGCCTGCCAATTGACTTCCTCAAGCAGACTCTGCGCTGTTCTCACTTTTCTATTTTTTGTGGACATGCCGTGTGCGAAGGTGATTATTTGACGTTCACACCTTGTCCGCCAGTCTGTAGGAGTTGGAACTGGGCGAGGTCGTCGCTTGTCTCCAGCTCCATCTCCAACTCCAACTCCGACTCCAACGTCGTCTCCATTGTTGGCGGTTGTTGTGATCAGCCACAATAGTGACAGGTGTGACAGTGCTCCGACAGCAGTGCGCAGGGCGAGTCTGTGGGCAGGCAGCCCAGTTTTGTGGAGCAACGAGGCAGCTATAAAGATGTAAACTAGACGAGACGAGGCGATGAAAACTGTAAAGCAAAAAAAAAAAAAAAAAAAATAAAAAAAAGAAGCGAAGAAAATTATTTCCTAGAAAAGCGCCAAGCAGCTGCTAGAACCTGCGTCCAATAGGGCAGCAAAAAAGGTAGAAGAACTAAATGAAATATAAGATACCCTGTACTGTTCCATAGCTATCATAACTGTAACTGTCTAAGAAGTTAAGTCTAAGTCGAACAAGAAATTATTAAATATCTTAATATCTGTACATACAATTTTAGAGCTACTCTTAAGTCATAATTGCAGGGTATCATAAGTCTGTCTGAAGGAATGCAACAACATATTTTTCTTTGGGTCGAATGGAAAAATGCCAAAGTGTTGAAAAGTGGAAGAAGAAAAAATTGTAATCGCATCGAGTCGCTCTCTCGGTTGCCTTTTATCATGCGCTCAACTTGGCGTTGATAATGACGATGATGGCTGAGGTGCTCAGGTCGCTTGATGTGATGTGATGGTCAGTGCCTTGTGCATTGTTCTTGCGGTTTGGTTTTGCAATTTGCGAGGCCAGCCAGCCAGCCAGCCAGCCAGCCAGCCAGTGAACTATTTAGCAAAGCTGTTTGGCTGCATTATGCAGTCAGGCTAGGGCACAGCGAACTGCAAAAAAAAGGGAGCGGGCACGGGAACTGGAACTGGAAACTGGGCGGCTTCTCTGTGGCTGCAGCAGCAGGTGGTAATGCGCAGAAATATGGTGCTGAACATTTCAATTAGAAAACGGCGAGTCTGAAAGAGAACTTTGAAACGATGACAGGCTGTCGTCGCCCCCATTAGACGAGCGACCAGGTTCAGCTCAGTTTCGCGTCCCAGACGTACGTTCCGCCTTTGATGTGCGCTGACGAACTGCTGGGTAGAGCGCTGTCTGGGTGCCGCGTTCTGGTCTCGGCTGGTTTTTGCCTGCATCGCGGCTATTATTTCAATAAAAATTCTTGAATATTATTTCGAGTTTGTTGCGGCAGGTTAGTTACTCGTCTCGTCGCCAGCCATGCCCGTATTTAATCTTTATAATTAAAAATTTAACAAAAAATTACTTCAACTTAAATACGATGAGCAGGAAAAAAATCAACCAGCGTCTCTCTGGGGTGCACAGACACGAACGTGTTAAAAATTGATTAAAGTAATTGATTTGTAAGAGGTGGTCAGCCAGCTAGACGGGGGCAGAGGCGGAGCACGTTAAGTTCTCAGCTCAACTGGTCTGCTAGCGGGTAATGAAGGAATGCTGTAGGTGCTTTGCATATTTTATACGAGTTTCATGGTATAAAAGTGAGGGACGAGTTCATTATTATAGCTTAAACACTTAAATATAGCAAAAATTGTTTTAGTTTTCGGTTAAGCGGGCATAAGAAGGCCTCCTCCCCCCACACATCTAATTGCATCGCACAAACAGATAAATGCACTTGTTAACACACGCATTCCACAAAAGCAACTGGCATGGCTTTGATGGCAAATATGCCTTTATATTCAAATCATATTCAAACCACATAGAAATCTCAGCTTTGTTTTGCAATTTCGCAAGTCAAACTTCAACGGCGAACGGGCGGCTCTGCAGCAGCACAGATCCAATTTCACACAGACCCAAAAGCCGAAAACCGCAGCACCACAAATCTTTCACTGCAGCCGCACAAACATTTTCCTTTTTTTCCACTTTTTTCTCTCCGTTAGCTGTTGTACGCCCCGCTTTTAGCTATGTCTATATATATTAATACTCTAACAGAAGATATTCTTTGTTAAGCAGCAGATTTGATACAGAAATCATATAATATAGATTAATCTTATTATTATATAGTGGATCCAGAAAGAGAGTAAGCTAAGTATATTCATGACTTATTAAGCTCTTAGTAGACATGGTCAATACCAATCTGACAGCTTAGCGTGCTTAAGTTTTCTATGCTTTAATATCTGCATATTTAAATATGATAATTGGGTTTTTTTGTGCATAAGAGTGTTTAATCTTCGACACCTTTAGTATTTCAGCTTTTTTTTCTTGTTAGCCAAAAACCCCAAGCCGAAACTCCAACAGAGGAGCATTGGTCTCTGTGCGTGTGCGGCGCTCTGGTTGAACTCAAACTTTTGTGCCAACTGCTTTTGACGCTCGTTGGTGCTAGCACGCGAGCTGCCGAGCTATGGAGCTGGGCTGCCTGAATTGGTGACGCCTTTGGTCTTTCACACAGCTCCACAGCCAAACAAGCAAATGCGCGAAAGAGTTAAAAGGCAGAGAGCACTGTGAAAAACGCCCGAACAGAGGAAGGCAGTCGAGGCATTTTCACCCTATTATTTCGAGCAATTTCATCAAAACTAGACGGGGCCGGCCTCTGCTCCAAATTGTAACCACAACCAGCTACCCAGTTGCCAGTTGCTAGTTGCTAGTTGCCAGTTGCCAGTTGCCAGAGCCAGTGCAAGTCCCAGTTCCAGGTTCCGTCCAGTTCAGTCCAGGCAACCGCTGCTTTTTTCTAGCTTCGTTTGATATTCCATTTTTTTTTTTTGTTTTTGGTTTTGCTTCGTTTTGTTGTGCTCTCAATAGAAGCAGGCAGCAGGTTTCTTTCTTTTCAATGGCCAGCTACAACTACTGACTGTTTTTCTTATTTGGTTTCCACTTTTATGTAGATTGGTATTTATTTTCCACGCGAAAAACTAAAAGAAATACAAAAACGAGAAAAAAGCACAGCGTGGCAGCGGTTCTCACACTATGCGATTTTGTTGCCGAGTGTTCCTGCCTGTAGTTCCTTAACTCTCCACATCGCTCTTATTATCGCGTCAAGCTCCAGCAACAACAGCAAGAAAAACTAAAATGCTGCCAGCAGCTTCGCTGTGGAACTATTTTGCGGTCCGTTGCCTGACAAATGGCAGCAACGCCATCGTCAGAGCATTTAGCCAAAGTCCAGGGAGTCGACGTCGACTGCCACAGCCAGAGACACAGCCAGGGCGAGAGCCAGCCACTGACCGCCTCTCGGTATAGGCTTTGTAGTCTACTTTTCTTTAGTACTCTTCAGTATTGGGTATATTGATATAGGCAAAAGGCAAGCGGCAGTCAGCTAAGAGTAAAGTCTGAGGTATAGAGAGATGAATCATTATATACCCAATGATATATATATATAGATGTAGAGATGATATTTAGGTGGCTAGTTGGATAGATAGAGATAGAGTAGATTGGTAGACGAAAAGAAGTAGCATCCGAATGGATAGAAAGATACGAATATATAGATACATATAAAAAGATAGATATATGTATTTAGAAATTTAGAAAGAAAGTTGTCTTTAAACATATATTTATTTATATATAATCTATAAAAAATGCAAATATAAAATATATAATATTTAAAGTGGGATAAACATAATTATAAAGTTATATTAAGAATTAAACAGATAGATGTATAGATTGATATATAAATAAATAATAATATATATATAAATAAATAATAAATAAAAATGCTCATTTTTACAAACAAATAAATATATGTGATAGCTCTACAGCTGGATAGACAGATAGATAAATAGCTAAATAAATATAGAACACGATTAAGCACATTATCATCTAGGTTAGCTATCAAAAATATTTCTACCAATATTATTTCTTATTTCAATTTTATATTAAAAATGCTTTCTCATAAAAATTCCATATC